AAAGAAAAATCAATGAATATTTCTGGGTCAGTGGTCTCATTTATTGGATAGCATTAATGCTTAAAATGTACATTAAAGCTTAGCAAATACTACCATTCATTTAATATTCATAAACCAAAAAGTGATAAATAGCTGTTGTTTTTGCCTTCTTTTATATTTAATATAAACTTAGAACTCTTTAGAAGTTTTTTTTTAGAAACAGGGTAGTGAAGACATCAGCTCTTTTTATTTTTTGGCGTTAGCTTTTGTTTTTAGCAAAATAAAAAGTTTAACTTACCACATAATAATTTCTGTCCTTTTAAAATATAAATTTACAAAACAATATATCTAATTTTACCTGTGCTTAGGATTATATTGGAGTCCATAAGTGGACTTCTGTTAATCTAAAATTGTTTGCATAATTTACCATGCGTTTATCTTTTTCTTGAAAAACTAATGATGGCTTCTATCAGGTTTTTAGATGTGTGGGTTACAAGGATATAAAATTAGCTAGCAAAATTTCAACATAACAAAACATTTAGGAAGGAAGGATGCTTCACATAAACTTGGAGAAGGCTCCATCTTAGTTGTAAGATATTGGGGCCATTAATTCTCATAGGGCTCAATGCAGTCATGGTCATAAGAAATAGCTGTTCACAGCACCTTATCATAGATTCTGTAGGATCTGTACAACATCCTCTTTGAAGAATATTAAATTAAAATTAATTTTACTTGAGAGATTTAAGTAAAAATATCACCTATGAAAATAACAGTAAACACAGTTTGGTATAGCCATTAAAAGCATGACCTTTGGAATCAGACTGTTTGGGTGAGAGTCCAAACTTTGCCCCTTCTAAGAACAGTGGGATCTTTGGCAAGTTATTTAATGTGTCTCTGCTTCAGTTTCCTCATAAATAAAATTTGATATTATTATTACCTTCCTTCTCCTTCTTATTAGTCTTATTTCTCTTTTGTAAAATTGGATTAATATTTACCTTAAGTTCATTAGGATTAAATGAAGTTAACAAAGTGCTTGGTACATTTTTTAGATTTTTTCCCTACATATTATAAAATCTGTTTGTTTTGAAAATAGGAATATAAAGGAAGATTAAAATGACTATTTAGAAGGGCCAGCCCATGGCTCACTTGGGAGAGTGATAACAATTGGGGTGCTGATAACACCAAGGCCAAGGGTTTGGATCCCTATGTAGGGATGGCCGGTTAGCTCACTTGGGAGAGCGTGGTGCTGACACCATCAAGTCAAGGGTTAAGATCCCCTTACTGGTCATCTTTTAATTAATTAATTAATTGATTGATTGATTGATTGATTGATTGATTAATTAATTAAAACATACAATTCTGTGGAATTAATTCAAATGCTGTGAGACCATCACCTCTATTTCCAAAACTTTTTTGTCATCCTCTGTACCCATTAAGCAATAACTTCCCATTATTCCTTCTCCCTAGTTTCTGGTAACCTCTAATTAACTGCAAAGAAGATTTTTTTAAAAGGTATACAGGTTCTCTATGCTGAAAATTGCAAGATGCTGTTGAAAGAAATCAAAGAGACATACTATGGTCATGAACTGGAAGACCTAACATAGTAAAGCAATAAATTCTGTCCAAATTGATCTATAGATTTAACACAATTTCTATAAAAACCTCATTAATATTTTCTGAAGACATAGATGGGCTTAATCTAAAATTTATAGGGGAAGGGAAAGAACCTAGAGTAGCCAAAACAATTTTGAAAAAGAATAAAGTGGAAAGAACATTGTGTTTAGCTCAGTTGGTCAGAGCATGGTGCTATACCACCAAGGTCAAGGGTTTGGATCTCTGTACAGGCCAGCTGCCAAAAAACACAAACAAAAGAATAAAGTGGGAGAAATCCTTCCTGATATTAAGGCTATAGTAATCAAGACAGTAAGGTACAGGCAGAGAGACAGATATGTAGATCAATGGAACAGATCAAAAATCCCAGAAAAAGACTTACACAAATATGTCCAACTGACTTTTGACAAGGGTACAAAAATATTTTAATGGAGGAGCAGCCTTTTCAACAAATGGTCTGGAACAAGTGGATATCCATAGGCCAAAAGATGAACCTCAACCTAAACCTTGTACCTTACACAAAAATTAACTCAAAATGGATCACAGATTTCAATGTAAAACATAAAACTTTCAGGAAAAAACAGAAAATCTTTAGGATCTAGGACTAGGCAAAGAGTTCTTAGATTTGATCCCAAACAGCAATTCATATAAGGAAAAGTAATGATTTCTTGGAGTAATATATGGCCATGTTTACAACAAAGTTTACCTGCCTGAACAGGTACTTGTATGCACTAGCTTTAGATATTCTGCACTGTGTTATGTGTGGCCAACTTCAGGTTACACCTCTAGTTAAGATTTCTGAGAGTTTGAGATCATGACAAAAATGGAAGAAAAGGTCAAACGTAGAACAGAATAAGAAAGAAGGTAATCTTTATTTGTAGGGCAAACATTCAAATTTTCTTCAATTTTTTTTTATCAATATGTAAGATTTCCATAAATAGCTCAAGTCCTGGCCCAAGCAACAGTGATATTATTAATACCTCCTCCTCCCAGTCACATATATCACTCTGAGGATACATCTGCCACTTACCTGCTCGTGCTGACTGGTTTTCAGGGAAGTAGGGTGTGAATAAATAGGGATTTGCTACACAGCTTAAAGCTTTTGGTAGTTTCTGTATTGTGATTATGTTTTACTTGAAGTTCATAAGGTTTATTTCGTTTGCTTTTTAATGGTGGCTACTACTTGTTAGAAATTCTCTGAATCACAAAGCCCACTTAGTTCTAGTGTTTGGGCTCCAAACTGGTAAAGTTATTTTTACTATGGTAAAGAAGATGTCTTCCCTACAGGAGCTTATGGTCCCTATAAAGTAAGAACATGAATACGTTGGAAGGATTTCAAAAGAAATAGAGATAGACTTTTTTCTTATAAGGTTTAACCATTAAAAACATATTTTACTCAATCAGATGAAATTAAATTGAAGTGATGGAAGAATATTAATGAGATATTCCTCCTCTTTAGATTTTCTTTCTGTTATTCTACTACAGAATTGTACAGTCATAAATCTTGTTTATCTGATCAGCTGCCATAATTTTTACTTTGCATTAGAAATTAATGGTCAGTGGTTCTGACCTATTGCTGATCTGAAGATGGGTATAAAAGCACTTTGTGGAATGGCAGTTTTGTTGAATGACAAGTAGCAGTCAGTTGTATCATTTGCCATTGACTCTTAACTATGGCAAGGTGTGATGTTTGCTTTAAGTTTACACAGCTCTTATTAAAGAGCTTAATTCAAGGGGATTAGAAAGAAATTTCCTTTCAACTTTCTCTCATTGGTGCTTAAGATTTATATTATCAGACTTCTGTTTTGATTGGCAGTTGAAAATCTCTTGCATTAATTTTTGAAAGATATTTTTAGTTATTTTTGCTTCCAAAAGATCCTATATAATTTATAACTTAGAAGGGAAAATTATATATTAAACATTTAGGATCTTAATCATACAGTGTGTATAGTTGTACTTGAGTTCTGCTTTCCATCTAGCTTCCCTGGAGGGTTTGTTAGATTCCTGGTTATTTTTTCTATGTATGAATGGTATTGGAGAGTTAAGACAAACACACGCGCGCGCATATGCGCGCTCTGGTTTATGTGTCTAACTTTTTCTAAACTATTGCTACTAGAATGCTAGCAAATCTTACAGATTTGTACTTAGCTAAAGATTCCACTGAATAATTTTTATATGAGTATTTTCTGTTCAATTTGACTTATGTGTATGCATGCATGTATATGTAATATGTTTAAATTTTTAATATTATGAATACATTGATTTTTATTAAATAGGTATATGTTTATTTTAAAACACATGGAAACACAAAGAAGAAAATAATATTTATATCCTGTCACCCTGAATTAACTGTTATTAACAACTTGGCATATTTCATTAAGTTTTTAGGGGACATCCCGCTGATGTCATTTATGCATTAACTTTTATACATGAAATGTTCTTGTAATAAATCCTGATATTTTAAAATTCTTATGCTTTTCTTTCTACCTGACACAAGACTATAGTCTCTAACATGGACTTCTAAGTATCAATTTTTGTTTCATTTACAAAATCTGAGTATATATTAACATTATAATAAGTACTCTGAAATATGTTTTTGTTTTTTTTTTTAAATTCAGAGGCACCTCTTCTTGGGTTATCATGGTGCCACCAAATAGGGATCATGTCCTTGACATATTTTCCAATTAGTAAGTGCTAGACACTCTACTCAGCTGTTTAGATGCAACAATCCTATTTAATCGTTACAGTATCCATTCGAAGCTCTGAGAAGTAAATACCTTTCCCAAGGTTATACAACTATTAAGTGGTAGATTCAGGATTTGAACTTAATTTAACTCCAGAGCCCAAGATTTTAATGGTAATGTTATATAAACTGTTTCTATGAAGTGATTTTCAAAGTGGCCCATGGTCTAGCCTCCTGAGACTTTCCTGGGTGCTTATTGAAAGATAATTTCCTGGACCCCTAACATATACATATCGAACCAAGTTCTCTGAGATCTGGGCCTGAGAGTGGGTGATGTTTCTCAGTCATATTATTGTTGGGATAGTGCTGGTCTATGGATTGCTTTTTTCTTATGATTTGGGCTAAAAACCACAACAAAACAGTAGGCAATTTCAAATATATATCAAAATATAATTCTGCAGTTCAAACAAACAGTAACATTTGCCATTAATTTTTGAATTTTAGAGTACAAAATGACATTAATTCTAAGATAATCTGACAAAGAATTTTGTCATGTTCTGTTGTGATTAGTATAATTCAAAATAAGCTGTTGATACATTACAGATGTTTTAATATGTGAGCCAATGCTTTATACGTTTTATATGTATTGTTTTACTATGAACTGGCATTGATACATTAAAATTTAGTGGAAAAATATAAGCAGAGGATATACTATCCTTTATTTTAGGTTGAACTCCCACCACCTGATCTTGGACCAAGTTCTGCACTAAATCAGACACTCATGTTGCTACGTGAAGTTTTGGCATCTCATGATTCTTCAGTTGTACCATTAGATGCTCGCCAAGCTGATTTTGTGCAGGTACATTGTAAATTCACTTTTAGTGAATTCTTTTTGCTCCTGTATTGTATATTCTTTTTAAATTCTGACATTTTGTAACCAACATATTTTGATAATCCCTTTCTGATTGTAAATCTTTCTTCAAATACTAAACCTGTTAATCTTTCTTCAAATACTAAACCAGTTATTGTTTTTAATTTAAAAAGTATTGATTCATTGATGCCCAGTTTTTAAACTATATGACTATTATTTTATTTTTATTTTTCTTGTGTGTTTCTATAAGTTGGCTCCATTCTAATTTGGCATTAATTCTGAAGTGCCATTAACTCAGAATGATATCACTGATTGGGAAATAAATAATTAATTTTATCTTTAATTTGTAGGTTTTATCATGTGTCTTGGATCCTCTCCTCCAGATGTGTACTATATCAGCCATCAATTTAGGCACAGCTGACATGGCCACTTTCATGGTCAATTCACTATATATGATGAAGACAACGTTAGCTTTATTTGAATTTACTGACAAACGTCTGGAAATGCTACAGTTTCAGGTAAATGTTATATACAATGACTATTCAAAGTGATGGAATCTTTTTTCTCTATATGATAGCTTTAAGTCACTGATTTTGACTAATTTCAGTGACCTAATTGCTGTAAATTCCTTGATGTAGTCTGAGGAAAGGACACACACACACACACACACACACACACACACACTCTCTCTCTCTCTCTCTCTCTCTCTCTCTCTCTCTCTCTCTCTCTCTCTCTCTCTCTGTCTCTCTCTCTCTGTCTCCTCTCTCTCAGTATTTCAGTTTGCAGCTTTGGAGAAATCAGAGTATGTAATGGTTAGGGTATTTGGTTCAGACCATAGTATGTGATGGTAGAATGAATTTTCCAATTAATTTGAACAGTTATTGTGTATGCATATTTCAGTTTCTGAATTGTGAATAGTATGTCATCTTTTTCAAGCTGTGAAGCTACTGCAGAATATGTTACAGAGGACAGGTATATTTTTATCTATGTGTAAAGCAGTGTTAGGTGAAACATTTCAGTTTATTATACCATTCACTCTAGTTCTATAACCAAATGGTATCACTTTAAGAGTCTATTGATGACTTAAACAAAACCATTTGCAAAATTTACTAGGGTTTCAGTTTTAAACAGTGGTTTTTGGTAGATATGATTTTTAAAAAAAAACTCTGAATGTTCTGTTATCACAAGTATATAAACAATTTGGCAGTGGGTTTAGTAAAATTTCATTTGTTAAGTTTCGGGCTTTTCTGAGGAATAAGTTTTAATACATCTAAATGTATGATATTTTCTAATTTCTAATTACTTCTTTTAAAAGAAATATATCACAATTATCCATATTCATGGTTTAAAGTCAAATAATTGTACGGTTTGTTATGAAAAGCCACATTGTACCATCCCCTACACCTTAACATTTTCTTCTCGTTTCTCTCTAAAAAAGCAACCTCTATCAATTCTTATAGCTGCTTCTTTTGTGTATTTTTATTTGTGACTTTAAATGCTTTTGTATTTTGCTACTTACACATTGTTTTAGTTTGAGGTCT